ATATACAGAGTGTCCGTCCATAAATGTCCGAACAAATATCTCACAACTGATCAAAATTACAAAAAAGTTTAATAAGAGAAATTAGCACAGTTTTTAGTCCGCAATAAAGCGCATGTAAAAAAATTTTTTTTAGTCGTAACCTTTTCAAGTTATGAAAGTCACCATCGTTTTTTTAAATAAAACTTCCCATCATTTATTACATATTTTGAAAATACATATTTTATATCAAAATATGTCAGATTAAGATATTAAAAACTCGAAAAATACTTAATGAAAAAATACTTTACTATAGTGTTTTGAAAAGGGCTATAAGAATATGCAATAAAAAATTGGGGGTCCCATTTAAAAAAACAATGGTGACCTTCATAATGTGAAAAGGTACGAGCAAAAATATTTTGGTAAATATGCATATTAGGTTACATCTCACCGATGATTTTGATCTTGACAAGGACACATAAATACAATGTAAACAACCTTTATTTTTCTTTATTTTATAATAGAAAAATCATTAAAATTGTGAAATCATAACTTTAAATATCTCAGAAACTATAAGAGACCGCCGGTCAAGTTATAAGGAAAAGTTACTCAGGGTTATGTTCATGACAACATATGTCAAGGTCAAAGCCATCGGTGAGGTGTAACCTAATATGCATATTTACCAAAATTTTTTTACATGCGTTTTATTGCGGACGAAAAACTGTGCTAATTTCTCTTATTAAACTTTTTTGTAATTTTGATCAGTTGTGAGATATTTGTTCGGACATTTATGGACGGACACTCTGTATATTTAAATTGCCTCTAAAGACATGAAATGCCTTTAAAAATACGAAAATATTGTCAAAAATGCAATTGTACACTTTAATTTTCTTTCTCTTAGCATGCATATACATATATACATACGTCTCTTCAAATCTTATTCTCATTTTTATCTTTCACAACATTTCCGAGAGCAAAGACACGCAGATATATTCTATTATACATATATCTCTCTCATTCTATATCTTCGTTTTATCCTTTATTAATTTCTTTTTTACACAACATATAATCAAAATATATATCTCTAAATATCTATTCAACAATATTGAAAATGAAATAGGGAATTTCTCGACTAAATATTTTTTTCCTCTAACATTTGCATGATCATTTTAATAAATGTGTCTGTTTACTATAAACTACTTAAACTATTTAAAGCCACACGGTGTCTCATTGAATGATTACGATCCAGCCGTCAACCTTGTTGTTTCCGATGATTATTGAAGAAAATAGAGAGAATCTTGCATTTTTCTTTCGTGAAAGTTCGATACTGATAAAGATTAATGCAATATAACAATGCAGTTTTAGCAACTCTTTAGATATCAACGTTGCCTGTTTAACAATATATCGAGTTACGCTCAAATAATGATCAAATTTTCTCTGTGTACGCGATGATGGTATATTTAAAATTGGTTTACATTTTTTTATTGTCATTAAAAGAGTGAAATATATTTTTTATTTTATTTTATTTTTTTTTTTTGAGGTATAATTATTTTAACGGGATGAAAAATATTACTTTACATCATGATCACAAATATTTATGGAAAAAGAATTTTTTTAATATCGCGATAAAAACGAAATAAAATGCATATCTTGCCAAAATGTAGTGTGATAAATGTAGATATATATGGATTAAAGATTTAGACAATTAGTGTACAGTAAAGTAATTAATAGTAATATATCACATCAAGTGCCATGTTACCACGTACTTTTGCTGGAACAGTCCTTTACGTTTCGCTTCCGGTTCACCATCCGAAATTCCGGCAGTAATGAAACGATTTCTTCGCCAGCATACAGGACACATTGACGAGAGCCATACGTAATGATTAGTACATCAATTTTCGTCAAATATCTGGCACACGATAAATGCTAACACAGTCTGTCGAGAAAGGTCTATCTATCCAACGGAATATCGAACGAGTTGATTACGTCTCTGAATTTCTCAGGTGTACTAACTATGCGCTTGCACGTTGATTAGTATAAAGTGCCAGTAGAGAAGACAGTATCTTGGAAACACTCAATGTGTTGATCAAACTTAAACTTTGGCGTCGAGTCTCTCGGTAGTACTCTTCCTTCCCCTTATTCAAGACAATCCGACAAAAATCCGAACATCCTTTGGAATTTTACACACTAAGGTCGCATCACGCCATCTCGCCTGTGCGTAGACACGCACGCGTGCGCGCGTGCATTGCGTGCATCGCGATCACATACGTAATCAACGCGCGTACAGGGTATCCCCGGATCGCATTCTCTGGACCGCGTCTTGTCGAGAATCGAGTCCGCGCTCTTTCCACCCGCTTTTCCGGCGCTATCGATCGGCTGTTGGGCTCGCGACAGCTCTCGCACACCCTTAGCAAAAACGTGTTCTCCCGCGATCCCTGGACCAGGTCTAATTTATGCCAATTTCGAACGGTAGCTAAATGGTTTATGCAAGATCCGACCGTTTAACGCGTTTCGCGCACGGAAATGACAGAGATTCGTCGACGAGATCCATCCGTTGCATCCTCGGTGGCCACCGCAGGGTGTCGTTCCGTCCGGAATCTGGGCTTCGCGACGGAGCGGTGCGCACACTCTCTCTCCGCACGCGCGTGGACCATACGGGGAGATTACGACCCGCGTCCCGCGTTCTCGCGTCTGGCGGGATGAGAGAAAGAGAAAGAGAGAGATGGAGGGATGAAGAGGTGGCGAACGATTATCTCACGATCGAAGGCGTCGCGTTTGGCAATCTGCAACTCTGCAAATCTGAAACTATCTTATAGGCATCCTCTCTTGGTGACAAGCCGTATATGATTATTCGTAAATGTATAACGGATACCGAGTTGAAACCAAGTATCGATCGATCCGATATATCCATCCATAGCTGTTGTATGTCGTCTCTAATAGCAGTCGGATCAGTGATACGAAAGATACTTTGTTTTCAACGTTTACACGATACAAGGAATGAGAGACTGGAATACATAAGGCAAAGAAATACATAAAGGAACATATAAGTTCCTAACCATCCGTACAGGCCTTTTAACAAAAAGTGAAATGAATTTTATCAAAAATCGCAAAAATTTCAATGACTAAATCAGATACGTTCTATTGTATGGTGATATTTTCAACTTCCGGTTCCAACCGGAAATAAGCTATCCAGACCAAAAGTCGAATTTTTTGAACAGAACATGATACTTTTTATTGCAGATTCAGATTCTTCAGCGAAGAATAAAAAGACTTTTGTCCCAAACATTTTTTTCTAAAATGCTTCCATTGACCTTGAAATGATTTTTAAAGTGTGACTTACGAACAGAATGTTAGAGCTAGATAGAAGATGGGCTTTCCAGATCTGAAGTCGAATTTTTTGGATGGAACATAACACTTTTTATTGAAAATTCGGATTACCCATGAACATAAACAATTTTATTTACATAAATGAATAAACAATTTTAATAAATTTGTTATTATTTTAATAATATGGTTATAAAATGATAAATTGTAGTAACATGGTTAATAAATTTTATTAACATAAGGGATTAAACATTTATTAATAATCTTGAAAGTGTGATGAAAAAATAAACTTTAACTGCATTTCTAGGCGAGTTAGCGTGTATCATTTCAAGGTCGATGGAGGCATTTTAGAAAAAAATGTTTGGGACAAGTCTCTTATTTCTCGCCGGGGAATCTGAACCTGCAATAAAAAGTGCCATGTTCCATTTAAAAAATTCGACTTTCGATCTGAATAGCCCATTTCCGATCGGCACCGGATGTTATAAAATATTATCATACAATAGAGCATATCCGATTTACTCATCAAAATTTTTGCAATTTTTGATGAAATCCATTTCCCTTTTTCTTAAAAGGCCTGTACGGGTTGTTAGGGATACCCTGTATATGCTCTTTTATTATGTTTGCCAGTCTCTTCATCTCTAAACATTTTTAATAATAACAACAATAAACTCAGACTACTATTGTAACAATTAACAAATGGGAAAACTGACAGATAAGAGTCAAGGTTGTCAATGTTGCCCACTAATTTGTACAAATTCTACGCGGGTTTAGTGACCCTTCCTTTCTGATTATTAATTTTAATTTGAAATTTGACTGCAATAGCAACAAATATTGTGTATGTCAAATTTTAAAATTCCAACGTAATCTTTATATATTTATATCCATGCTAAAGATGGACCAAAAAACGGTTCGAAACATACATTTTTAATGCACATTTGTTAATAAAATTTATCAATAATAAGTTTGCGCAATACCCGCGTCTTGGCTCTTATCAGTTTTCCTACTTAATTGTTTGTACTTTGAGCTGTTATTATTAAAAATATGTGTGTAAATTATTTTATTAGATCGGAAATTGCATTGCGTCTTACGCGAATGAATACATTTTTTTCTCGAACCTAAAATGGAAGATTTTTATTATACTTTTATTATACATATGGTATATAAAATGGTGTTTTAAATATAATTATCTAAAACTAAATGAAATATCATACACATTCACGATCAAAATGCTTTATTGAAAGAGAGTTGGTTATTATATATAAATATTTAAAGGCTTATTTTATATATATGAATATTTAAAAACTGAGGCGTGCGCACGCGTGCTGTATGTGATAAAATAAAATGTAAAATTAATATGCAATAATAATTTCTTTTTTTCATTAAAAATGAAATACACACAATTCATTTACAGGGTTGATAAAGATTCGTGTGATGCGCCATTGAATTTTCATATCGCTTCGTTGAGACTATCACAATTTTGCACACATTTATCATCCGCAGCTCGTAATGACTGCGCATCAGCCATTATACGCGGTATGTAATAATTCCATGTCCATATCCTAAAAATTTTTATTAAATTATACAGAATGACCCGCAATGACCGCCCACTAAGTACATAGCATTATTCCTTACCAAAAAACTGAGTCGAAAAGTCCTGAACCATTTTTTTATAACGCTTAATAAAGGAGTTCTTATTGAGTAAAGTCGGACCAATCAGCGCCGACCTTTAGTCGGGCGCACATCGGTGAGCCGCGCGCCTGATAGTGTGCGTGAGCGCTCGGCGGCGCACCGATATGCGCCCGGCTAAAGGTCGGCGCTGATTGGTCCGACTTTACTGAATAATAACTCCTTTATTAAGCGTTATAAAAAAAATGATTCAGAACTTTTCGATTCAGTTTTTGATAAGATATAACGCTATGTACTTAGTAGGCGGTCATTGCGGGTCACCCTGTATAATCAAAACCGATCCCGAAGAAAGTAAGTTTGAGCTATCTGAGCATGATAAACTTGCCTTTACGGGGACTTGATTTGTTCTACGATAAGTAAGGGCAAGTTTATCACTGAAGATGCTTAAATTTATTTTCCTGCTTCGCTATCGTTTTTGATTGATATATGTATAATATTAGCGAGTTATACAGAAAATTATATGTATATATATTGCGAAATATATTTGGATGCCTTGAATCGATGTTTTCTTCAGGTAAACACGTGCAAAAATAAATAACACGTTGTTTGTTATAAAAATGTATATAATGTTGGAAATCAAATGTGTGAGAGAATTGAAAAAATATAATTTTCTTGAATTACTAAGCCGACCTTGAACGCAAACTGATAAGTGAAATGAAATATATATACGAAAATACATATACAATGGAAAGAAATATGTATTTAGCATAGGCACTACGCAGGAAATAAATGGAACGAATGATTATCTTAATAACCAATGTTTTTGCGCCATGTTTCGTTGAGACATGATAAGAATTGATATCTCGGTATGTTATACATATATGTACATTCGTACATGTCACATATTATTCTAGCAGTGTAATTAAAAGGCAGCGGGCAAATTAAAAATTTATTAATTATAAATTGTAATAAATAACATCGCATTTTGTAAAAAATGTACTTGTTATTCAGATTTTAAAATCTGTATCTCTCTTCACTTTTCTTTCTCAAACTTAATCTTTTCTAGAAAATTGAGCTTGAATTTTCAGCTTTCTCGCGTATTTCCTTGCGTGAATATTTTCCGATTACTTTTGCGAAAAAGTCTACTTTATGTTCTTGCCAAACGATACACATTAAACGAAAAGAATTTTTTTCGTTATGTCATGCTTATCTCATCGCGATTTTTTTTCTTGCATGATTGTTTTTCTTATCTTATTTACCGTACTCTGTATATTTCCTTCTCTCTGGGAACGCATTGTTCTCGCACGCTCAATATGCAAAATGAGAGAAGAATAAAAGCAGAATATGTGGCACTTGTACAAAGTATGCGTTGCCTATAAACTTGAGAAATTTTTCATTTACGTTGCACAGATCATATATTTTTCGTTATATTTTCATATCTTCTTCTTTTCCTTAACACATCTCCATTGTAATATCCCTTATAATTACATTTTTGCGAGAAACAAAATAGCTATCTTCTTTTTCATAAAATAAATATAGATAGTATAAAATAGATTACTTAAAAAATATCAAATTAAAATATTTCCAATAATTTATACAGCTTCGAGAATGCAAATTCTTTCCGTGATGATCATCTGTATATAAATTATACACGATACGTAACTCGAAAAATATTACATTTTCCGAAATCATTGCAAAGTAACAAGGTTTATATTTGTTTCCTCGGAAAGCACTCAACTCTCAGAGCATCGAATGAATTACTGCAGCTTGTTAAACAGTTTATCGACTATAATATTCCGTGTTTGTCGACAAAAATATGTGTCAAGAGTAATGTGTAACGCCGTGGATGCGATCAATATTCTTTCTAAATGCGAAATACGAGTTCGTATTTAATATATTTAGGAAAATTACGCCAACCTCCGAGATACCGATAATAAAACACGATCATTATTAGCGGCGATTAATCGTTTTCACCACAAGTGAAGCGAAAGAAGGGTATCTTTACACATCATAGATGTCTCGAAATAGTTTTGACGTCGCCATGTGAGAAAATTGTGTTTTTGTGTTGCGATCATGTAATACACATACGGAGATATAATTTCGCTTTCAAATAACTTTTAATTAATTATTGCAATGAAAAATCGATAACGCGATCGAAAAATTTTATAGCTAATCAGTTCAATCAATATGTATTATATATATACACAAGGATCGAATACATAGTCGAACAAAATATATATTTTGACGAAAGAATAAAAATTTTAATTTTTTGTCCATTTCTAATATATTAAAAATGATCGATACGATCGTCGATCAAATGACTGCGAGACGGATGTAATGGATTTTTTATATTTTCTTTGTGATGAAGAGTATATCGACGGAACACTATGTTGAGTAGTTAAAGATAATATCTATAGTTGTGTATGGTGTCAAAGAGAATGGCAAAGTTGAGACTCAAATACTAAATAATGTTGTATGATGTTGTGTCTTCAGATTTTAAATATTGTATCAATACAATGTATAAATTAAGACAAAAAAAATATTAAAATTTTACACGCATAAACATTGCATAAAATATGAATATAACATATATTATACAATCTCTTTCTTTATTCCTTTTATACCAAAAAATGTGATTTTTTTTCTTAAAATATATATAATGTTTTGTAAGATTGCTTGTATAATATCGCAATTAAAATACTCATATATATATAGCAAATATTATCTTATAGTATTCATTACGAAAAACAAGATAAATTAATTTATGGTCTGAATAACACTTTATATTTAAAAAAAAAAAAACACATTTTAAATCAAAGTTAATTTTTTTAGTTGGACTCATAAGCGAATATGTTAAAAAGAAACCATTGAATACTTGGGCTTTTTATTTTATGAATAAGTATAATAAAAAATTTAAAGGATATTAGTTTTGCCTTAAAATAATTATAGATTATTTACGCGTAAATAATGAATAATCATTTTAAGACAAAACTCTCTCCCTTCCTATATAACTATATATATGACTTAAAAAATAAAACAATTATATATACATTATTATGTATACATCTATGTATATACAACATAAGCTTGCATTTATGCTGTAAATAACACTAAAAAATGTAATCTAACAGAAAAAAGAAACCTATTTCATTTTGATTAGAGCACATTACTCAAATATTTATTCACGATTATCCACATGTTGAATCGCATTGTCTGGAAAAATATTATATCGTTAGACCAACGACAAAAATATCCACTGCATAGAAAGAAGGGAGTTATCAGCTCGCACCTATCGTATAACTCTGTTATCATATAACGATTACCAATATTCTCGATAGCAGCTCAACTCGATATACACATTATATTCCCAATGCATATTACGAATCGATATCATTATTTATACATCGCTATACATCTCTCTGAAATCGGAATATTTTCGAAATTTATTTCGATTCGATAAAATAACATTTCTATGCTAAGATATTTTGTATCAATTTCATATATATATATTTCTCAAGTTAACTTTATTATGCGACTTTATTATATACATATTGTGCCATATATTAAAGATACAAATTGCATTTTATCGACAGTAGCACAGAGCTTGAGTGAAAACTAATAAGAAGTGAAATAATGTTTAGAGAACTCTTCTAATGTCTTTCTCTTTTTCTCTCGTGAAAAGTATATTTTTGATTGGTCATTAAATCTAGTATGCCTACCATTTTTTCCATCACCTCTTTTCTCTCTTCCCGTTTTTATTTGTGCAACTTATTCTCCTCGCAATCTTTCATCTACTAATAAAACGCGTAAATACAAATACAAATAATTATCGGTTTTAATGAATGTGATACTTGATTCTCTGCAATTATAACGGAACTCGTGGTTGCACATCACATTACTAAGAGCACTTAAACCACGCAACACTTAACTGCGTTATAAAAATACGCAATATTATTACAATAAAATAAGTTTCGTAGTTCTTAATTCGATTAACTGCATTTAGTTATCGAAAGTTTATTACAGCCTTGCACCTTATCACAGCGTACGGTAGTTCCTTTCATTGCATTGCCTGTAGAATTTCCACGAAAACGCGGCGATCGCCATCAAACATGTGGCAAGAATAATGCCACCTGCAATAAGGACATGTGCACAATTGCTTTATTATCAAACAACAAATCACTATTAAATTAATAAATCAAACATATGTGGTAAAAATTATTGTAAGAAAATTTTATGAAAAGGACTTTTGTACAACAAATATACTTATAAACACAATATGTGTATGCTACTTTTGTTAATGAAATTTTAATACAAGTATAGTGTTTTATTATATTGTGTGTCTAGTGTTTTATTATATTGTCTTATTGAAAATTGTGTTCTTCATTAATCTCTAGGAATAACTAAAACAAAGTTATTTCTTACGTACCAAAAAAGCTTAGACCATCGAAGTGGCGATCCTTGGAAGGAGGAGGTGTTGATGATGTTGGTTCAGGTGTTGTTTTTACTGCAGTTGTACTAGTGGATACAGTTGTAGATGTCGTAGCAATTGGTGTGCTTGTTGTCGGCGGCGGCATTGTAGTAGTTGTAGTTGTAGTTGTAGATTTAGTAATTGGAGAGGGTGTAGGAGTAGTAGTACTCGGAGTTATAGATGTGCTTGAAGTTGTAATGGATGTAGTTGTAGATTCTGTAGTAGTGTCTTTCGATGGCGTAGCAGTTGTTGTGTCATTTTTGGTAGTAGTCAATGGTGACTCCGTTATAAAGCTACTCGTTGTAAATGCTTGTAACTTAGATATCGGTGTACCTGCATACATGAAAAATTTATACATAATTTTTTTTCACAAATGGAACTTACATGTTTTAATTACAATAAATAAGAAATACATGAAATTACTTTCTCTACAACTAAAAAAAGATGAATAAATCTATTCAAATCATCATTTATCTCTTTATGATAAGCTAATACGTAAGCAATGTATAGATATCTCTTTATGCAAACATGTGTTGGATACAAATACATGTACACAATGCATTAATCATATAGAAGTATTAATTAAAATTAATAATTTAATATTATTTTCTTTAAATTTATAAAATATTTATAATCAGGAATATATGTATAAAGAGCAAAAATGAGGATTTGCATTAAATCTCATTCCATGATGATTTCAGAAATGTTATCACAAATGTGATAATTTCTTTTTTGACAAATCTTTTGTCAATTTATACATTTCTCTCGGAAATAAACGCGTCGAAATACAAGGAAAAATTGAAATAGATGCAATATGTGTGCAATATCGCTCGTCAATGGCCGCGATATTATTCCGACGACGAAGCATTACAATTCGTCATCGCGCATACGTCGATCGTTATCGTTTGACGTAGCCAAGTCCGCAAGATTTGACCGATGGTCGGCGGAAAATCGATAACGGCAAGAATCTGCTTGAAATCACCGCCGTTACCGTCGTCATGGCCGTTGTCTAAATATGAAAATCAAGAATGCGTAATAAACGCGAAGTAGAGTCGCGCCGTGATTTGTTTAAATTTTAGTCTTCTTACACTTGTAGTCTTTTTTGCACAAAACAGAAGAACATGTATGTTTTGACGTATCGGAAGCAGAGAAAATGCTAAAGTAAAAAAGAAAAAGTAAGTTTTACAACACGATTTTTTAGAGAAAGCATACATGCTGTCATAAATACAGCATGGGTAGGCGTTGTACGCGACAAAATCAGAGCTGCCTTTGATCCGTTATCGTACAAAATTCATTATTACGCACTATGTCGCACATGTTGCGCTATATATATATTGCACAATCGCGCTAATGTCAAAGAATCAAAAAACTCACCGTCAACTAGCACCAGCGAGCCAATCGTTATGCCCAGTAACACGCAGATCATATAAGCCAACTTCATTTTGGAGTCGTGATAAAAAATGCGGAAACGAAATTCTCTCGTGTCGTTTAGAAATACGCACAGATGACAATGATATATACGTATTACTCAAATCACTAGTACTGTTCGACTGTGACTTACGTCTTACGTCTACTCACAGCGATCAGCAGCGACTGCCGCGTGTGGTGTATGGTATGTGGTACCAAGATGGCGATGACATTGTGCCAAAGGCGCAGATTAATAATCCCTAGATAAAATTCCGTATTCATAGTCCATTTTTTTCATTCAAGATTATTTTACGATATCGATTCTGTAATTCAAGTGAAGATGAAAATTACAAAAATGATCGAATTTATTAGAAAATTTATAATTTTATTGGTCCAAATCTAGGAAAAATTCGCTCATTTTTGTAATTTTTATCCTTACTTGAATTACAGAATCGAATATATATACAAAAGTGTGATTTTGGATAATTTTAAGATCCTATTTAGACAAAGATGCATAATGCATAATACATGAAAGAATTAACTAAATTGCTACTTTTTGCATTCGTACTGGAATGATTGATTGATTTTTCTGTGCATATGCATCGTGCATCTATACAAATATGTATGAAGACCTTAAAACTCTATTGAACCAATGAGATTATGTCAGATATATAAGAACATGCTATGAATATGGAGTAAAGAATCAAAAGCAAATATTATAGAGGTACCAACATAGTAACATAACATATATAGGCTGCGTTCGGAAAGCACTCTTACGCGCTAAAATCGTCATTCTATCTTTGTTATTTACTGAAAATTGAACAAGGACAGAGCACGCTCATAGCGCTAAAAGCGTGCTCCCCGAACGTACCCATATTAGTAACAAATATTTACATCTTACAATCTCTCTAACAAGAGTATGATTTTACTTTAATCTTTTGTTTAAGAAAATCGCTTTTTAGTGATTAGCAATTAATAATTTTCATGCGAGCATACTAACTATATGGTCGTCACGATTTTGACATAATTCTCTCTCTGTCTGTCTCTGTATCTGTTTCTCTCTCTCTCTCTCTCTTTCTCTCTCTCTCTCTCTCTCTCTCTCTGTCTCTCTCTCTCTCTCTCTCTCTCTCTCTCTCTCTCTCTCTCTCTCTCTCTCTCTCTCTCTCTCTCTCTCTCTCTCTCTCTCTCTCTCTCTCTCTCTCTCTCTCTCTCTCTCTCTCTCTCTCTCTCTCTCTCTCTCTCTCTCTCTCTCTCTCTCTCTCTCTCTCTCTCTCTCTCTCTCTCTCTCTCTCTCTCTCTCTCTCTCTCTCTCTCTCTCTCTCTCTCTCTCTCTCTCTCTCTCTCTCTCTCTCTCTCTCTCTCTCTCTCTCTCTCTCTCTCTCTCTCTCTCTCTCTCTCTCTCTCTCTCTCTCTCTCTCTCTCTCTCTCTCTCTCTCTCTCTCTCTCTCTCTCTCTCTCTCTCTCTCTCTCTCTCTCTCTCTCTCTCTCTCTCTCTCTCTCTCTCTCTCTCTCTCTCTCTCTCTCTCTCTCTCTCTCTCTCTCTCTCTCTCTCTCTCTCTCTCTCTCTCTCTCTCTCTCTCTCTCTCTCTCTCTCTCTCTCTCTCTCTCTCTCTCTCTCTCTCTCTCTCTCTCTCTCTCTCTCTCTCTCTCTCTCTCTCTCTCTCTCTCTCTCTCTCTCTCTCTCTCTCTCTCTCTCTCTCTCTCTCTCTCTCTCTCTCTCTCTCTCTCTCTCTCTCTCTCTCTCTCTCTCTCTCTCTCTCTCTCTCTCTCTCTCTCTCTCTCTCTCTCTCTCTCTCTCTCTCTCTCTCTCTCTCTCTCTCTCTCTCTCTCTCTCTCTCTCTCTCTCTCTCTCTCTCTCTCTCTCTCTCTCTCTCTCTCTCTCTCTCTCTCTCTCTCTCTCTCTCTCTCTCTCTCTCTCTCTCTTATATATATATAAGCCGCAAACTTAAAAATTAGAGTCAGTAGTTGACCATTACACTCCGCTCTGTTGACTCTTAAAATTTAATAAATAAAGCGAAAAAAGATTCTCGGTTACTTGATTCGAAAAAATATTATTCCAGAATAATATCCCGAATCCTGTCAATTATGTCTTTCCGATCTGCTCCATCAGTTTTCGTCGGCAACTCCAGGGAAGTGGCGCCCTCAAGCATCGTCGGAGGGTTTGGGGGGGCTGGAGGCCGCAACGGTCGAGAATGCCGATGATGCGCGCTCAGGCGTTTACGACTGGATTCAGTGCTGCTCAGTGCTGCTGGTGCTCGATGCGAGGTGAGTGCGCGTGCGACAGTGCAGCACAAGTGCTTTGAATGCTCGCGCCCGTATGTAGCCTGTTTTCGCTCATCAGTTTGTCGAAAAAAAACGTTCTCGCCATCGTGCACAATCGTGGGGGATAAGATCGGGGGGATTAATTTACGCGGCGTGATTACGAGAAAACGGAAACGCGCGCGCACTGCTATCCCGCAGGATTGAATATCGATAACGATATATTTTTCGCGAGGGAGAAGAGAAAAGCTCGACGTGCGAGCACGACTGCCAATAAACAACACAAGGGGTGACGAGAACTTGCGAGTGAACGCGAGTGACGGGAGTGACGGTGTATCATTTTCCGGGACGACAACGAGGTGGCTCACGGTGGTGGCTAGCCTGTGGATAAAGGGCGAGGGAAATGGGCCGCTCCGCTTTTAATACGTGATACGAGGTGCGTGAGCGCGCGCCCGCGCGCGCGCGCTCCCTTCCGTAAGCTACGCGTGTGTATGTGGCGTGCGTGTGAAATCGTCGTCGTCCTCGTGTCGTCGTCATCATCGTTTCGTCTTCGTCATCTTCTCCGTTGTGCTGTTACATACGGTTCCCTGTTGTGTATTGCTCATTGTATATGCGTGCGCCGCTTGCGTGAATGAAAGAGAAAGAAGAGGAAAACTGCCGATCACCCCGAGATTGACGAGCGCCATCATCGTCGCCCCCTGACTCGACGTGACGTCGAGAGCAAAGGGATAGCAGCAAAGGAGTTCTTTATGAAAACGCAGCGCGACATGACGACGGCGAGGGGTGGTGTCGTCGCGACGGCGATGACGACGGCGACGACTACGATAATAACGACGACGACGAGGGCAGCGTTGTCGTCATCGTCGTCGTCGTCGTTGTCGTCGTCGTCGTCGTCGTCGTCGTCGTCGTCGTCGTCGTCGTCGTCGTCGTCGTCGTCGTCGTCGTCGTCGTCGTCGACGTCGTCATCGTCGTCGTTGGCAAGCGCGGCCGCACCGTCGCACCGCCTAGTCGCGACGACGCTGCCGCTACTGCTGCTGCTGCTAATGTCAACGCATCCCGGTCCGGCCGCGGCTGCCTGTCGGTGGACCAATGAGGCCGGTAACGACACCCGTTCGGCGGACTGCGCCCTTCGTGTGCTGGATCCTACGGCGATCGTCGCCCTAGCGCCATCACTGGACGGTGCGCTCAGATTGCGGATTCGCTGTAGCGACGTACATCATTTCGAGAGCAGCCTGAACGCGCAGAGTTGGCAACGACTCGCTAGCCTGCACGAGTTGCACGTTCACGGTTGCAAAGTGTTGCGGATACCGGACGGTGCATTTCAGCCTCTGCTCGAGCTCAAACGGCTCGTCGTACAAACCTTTAACGCCGCTTGGGGGGCCGCCAGATATTTGGAGTTCGCGCCACGCTCTCTTCTAGGTCTTCGCGAGCTCCACACTCTCGAAATTGTCGAAAGCAACGTGCTGGCGTTGCCGCCTAGTCTGCTTTGCGAATTAGATAACTTACAAACCCTCAATCTCACCGGTAATCGTATTCGCGATGTCGGCGACATCGGTCTGAAAGTGCGCGGTATCGACGCCGAGTCCTGCCGCGCCGATGTTCGGATTTTGGATCTGTCGCGCAACGAACTCCGACGACTGTCCGAGGACGGGCCGCTGGTGAGCCTACGACAATTGCAAGAGCTGCACTTGCAACGCAACGTGATCGCCGAGATCGGCAAGAACGCCTTGGACGGGCTTACGATGCTGCGCACCTTCAACGCCAGTCACAACGTCCTAGACTCCTTGCCCGAGGGCCTGTTTGCCAGTACGCGTGACCTACGGGAAATACACCTGGCGCACAATGGACTACGCGACTTGCCGCGGGGCGTGTTTACCCGTCTCGAGCAGCTGCTGGTTTTGAATCTCGCCAACAATCGCCTCGGCAGCGATCGCGTCGATGAGACTACCTTTCTCGGCCTAATTCGCCTCATCGTGCTCGATCTGTCGTACAATCAACTGACACATATCGACGCCCGCATGTTCAAGGATTTGTTCTTCTTGCAGATCCTCGATCTACGCAACAATTCGGTCGATCGTATCGAGAGCAACGCCTTTCTGCCGCTCTATAATCTTCACACGCTCGAATTGTCCGACAACAAACTCCACACCGTGGGAGCGCAGCTTTTTAACGGTCTCTTCGTCTTAAATCGGCTGACCATGTCGGGCAATTCGATCACGAGCATCGACACTGTCGCGTTTCGCAACTGTTCCGATCTCAAGGAATTAGATCTAAGCGGCAATGAGCTCACCGCCGTTCCGGACGCGTTACGCGATCTCGCCTTCCTCAAGACTCTGGACCTAGGTGAGAATCGGATCAACGAGTTTCACAACGGCTCTTTCCGCAATCTCCATCAGCTCACCGGTCTCCGTTTGATCGGCAACGACATTGGCAATCTGACGCGCGGCATGCTTTGGGACCTACCGAATCTGCAGATTCTCAATCTGGCCCGTAACAAGGTGCAACATGTGGAGAGGCATGCGTTTGAACGCAACATTAGACTCGAGGCTATTCGTCTCGATGGCAACTTTTTGTCGGACATCAACGGCGTTTTCACCAGTATCACCAGCCTGCTACTGCTAAATCTATCGGAGAACCATATAGAATGGTTCGATTACGCCTTCATACCGGGCAATCTCAAATGGCTCGACATTCACGGCAACTTCATCGAGAGCCTCGGCAATTATTACAAGATTCGCGATTCCAAGGTTCGAACACTGGATGCCAGTCATAATCGCATTACCGAACTCTCACCATTGTCCGTGCCGGATAGCGTCGAATTATTATTCATCAACAATAATTACATTAGTACTGTACGGCCCAATACGTTTGCCGACAAAGTAAATCTCACTCGTGTGGATATGTATGCCAACATGATCGAGACGATGGAGTTGACGTCGCTGCTGCTGACCAAGGTGCCGGAGAATAAGCCCCTGCCAGAGTTCTACATCGGGGGCAATCCGTTCAATTGCAACTGCTCGATGGACTGGCTGCCGGCTATCAATAATCAGACTTCGACGAGGGAGTATCCGCGTGTTATGGATCTCGACAACGCCATGTGCCGTACTTCCGGGCCGCGGGGAGTCGCCATTGTACCGGCCTCGAGCGCTCGCTCGGAGCAATTTCTCTGCCGTTACGAGGCACACTGCTTTGCTCTGTGTCACTGCTGCGATTTTGATGCCTGCGACTGCGAGATGACCTGTCCGGCCGGCTGCAAATGCTACAATGACCGCACGTGGAATACGAACGCGGTCGATTGCTCAGGTCTTGGGGTCGAGGAGATCCCGCGTAGAATACCGATGGACGCCACTGAAGTATATCTAGACGGCAATGTATTACGAGAGTTGCAGAATCACGCGTTCATCGGCCGCAAGAACATGCGCGTGCTGTACGTAAATGCCAGTGGTATCGAGTCCATCCAGAATCGCACGTTCAACGGTCTCAACAACTTGCAAATTCTCCATCTCGAAGACAATCGGATACGCGAGCTCAAAGGCTTCGAGTTTGAACGATTATCACACTTGCGCGAGCTCTATTTGCAAAACAATGCGGTCGGTTTTATCGGAAATCTTACGTTTCTGCCCCTTCGATCGCTCGAGATTCTCAGATTGCACGGCAATCGACTAGTGACCTTTCCCGTATGGCAGGTCACTCTCAACGCTCGATTGGTCGAGCTGTCACTGGGCGGCAATCCGTGGTCTTGCCGTTGCAAGTTTCTGCAAGAATTGTCCTCCTGGGTGTCGGACAATGCGCATAAAGTCATCGATGCCAGCGATGTATGGTGTTACTATGGCGGCGATGCCAGGCAAACGGCCTATCGACGTCGTCTCAACGTTAATGAGACCGCTTGCTCGGACTATTTCTCTCAGGGCGGCGTAATCGAGAGTATCATGGTGTCGGACTATCTGCCTTTGGTGGCTGCCACTCTTTCGGCCGTCCTCGTTCTCTTGGTGATCATAGTACTTGCCTTCGTGTTCCGTGAACCTGTCGGTGCTTGGGCATACTCCAAGTACGGATTGCGTTTTTTGCGCGCCAAACCCGGCAAGACTGTGACAACAGCAACCATGGGCTCCGCGGCCATGGCCGCAGGCTGCTGCGACGCCGATCGCGATCGCGTGTACGATTGCTATGTTTGTTACAGCCCGAACGACGAGGACTTTGTGGTGCGATCGTTGGCAATTGAGCTGGAGCATGGCGCCGCCAATCTGAGACTCTGCCTACATCACCGGGACTTGCCTTGCATTCTGCGCGCTTCCGCGCCCGCGCCAGCGGTCCTCGAGGCGGTGGACGCGTCCCGACGTGTGTTGATCGTGCTGACTCGCGACTTCCTTCAGACCGAATGGTCGCGCTTCGAGTTTCGCGCGGCACTGCACGAGGCTCTGCGCGGCCGTGCCTCCCAGCTGATTATTGTACAGGCCGGTCATGTCGGCATCGAGATCGAACGCGATCCTGAATTACGACCTTACCTGAGAAATGCGGCACTCATACTTACATGGGGTGAGAAAAGGTTTTGGGAACGATTGAGGTATGCCATACCGCCGTCCACGACCGCCGCCATTATCGCCGCTAATACAACTACTACCACAGCTGTCGCCGCTAGTGACGTATCCGTTGAAAGCAAATCTTCGCCGCTAGTTTACAAACGTAATATCAACACCTATACGCTCGACGGTGGCATCGGCAGCCTCGAGAAGAGCGGCGTTTCGACTTTGCGCGGCGGTCAACGCGCTGCTCTCTTCAAGGACGCCTCTTCAGCGCTGATGCTACAACACGCGCCACCTGCTTACTCGTGCGGTGCCCCACTTTCCCCCGTATTACCGCAACAACAACAACAGCAGCCGCCACCACAGCCACTTTTGTCGTCGCCGGCGCAACCTAGGCTGACAGTCAATCACGCCTATCGAGACGCGATGCCGGCCGGTAATCTCATCACGACCGCTGCTAGTACGACCAACACCGGCATCGGCGAAGACCATAGGAGACCGCTCTCCGAGCATATCTACTCGTCCATCGACTCGGACTATTCCACCCTCGAGAGGACCGCTTGGAGACAGCAACAACCACCGCCATCGCCGCCCCCACCCTCCTCCGGACAGGCCTATCTAGTTTAGCTTTGTCATCGTGTCGCCGATTTGATCGCCGCGCCGTAACGATGAGGTAGCTCGTTCTCGAAAGGTTGTGCTGAATCTTGCGTTCGTGATTCGATCGCGACATCGTCATCGCGACCTCGTCGATTCGCGATTTCGACAGACTATGAATTCTCGAAGACGCTGGGCGCGTATCGAGCCACAAATTCCCGCGAGACATGTGTTTATAGCTCAGAAACGTTGTCGCAAAGGGAGAGGGACAGAGTGTCTATGTATCGTAATTATCTGTGAAGACTTTGGAGGTGTGATAACGGATCGCCCGTTTATTTGTTTGATACGCGACAACTTTTATTCTTTTCTGTTACTATAATGTGATTGACGTATTTTCTTTCTGACTCTTTCTGTTCTTTCTTTTTTTTTTGTTATTTCTTCCTCTGTCTTCCTTCACTCTGTTTGACGTAATAAAACCTCCCTCTTTACTGCGCGTACATACATCCTTGGAATAATTCCGAATTTCGAAATGATGTCTCGCGAGAATATGTTTTGTTTAGATGTATAGTTTGGTTGTTCCTTCATGTAGAAAATTAATTTTTTCACAACAAAAATGTCGATATAACTTATAAGTTATATAATACAATTATTCTATTGTGAATTAAAAATTTCTACGGATTAAAAGCGTAAGATGAGGAAAGGTTCGATGAGTGTCGCAGTTCAATTTCTTATCTTGCATTTACTTTGATATGTGATTTTTTTGATATTATTATAATCTTAATTTATATATATATATATATACTTTGAACGATCAATTAAGAGAAACAATCTCTTTATCCTCTCTATTTGACATTGAATATTAAAAATTAAATTTATAACTTTTCTAAGAATATAAATTAATTTGAAATATTATAAAACCAAGACTGTGGAGACACTTTGTCTAACACATTCGATGACTTTTCAGCGAGCGATAGAGCGCGAATGCACACAAGAATCTCATCTCGCGTGATCGTGTATTATATAAATCGTCAAGCTGTCCCTTTCGCGATGAATTTCACTCTCGTGTGTAAATACTTACTTCTACTTACTGCGAACCCGTGTAAATACGCTATTATGCAATGTACATCTGTATATATAATGTACGTACAATGTACATTGTGTGCGTTGCGTGCGTGTGTGCATGTGCGTGTGTGTGTGTGTGCGTGCGTGTGCGTGTGTGCGCGCGCGCGCGCGTGTGTGTGTGTGTGTGTGTGTGTGTGTGTGTGTGTGTGTGTAAATACATACATGTAATTGACACGTGTCACATTTCGCTGCGTAATAGGATCATGAAGCTAGCTTGAATTCTGGATTTTCGATTAAGTGAATGACTTTTTGTAATTTTATATGTCCGCGAAAGAAAAAGGAGAAAAAGTGTGGTTGTATGATATGTAAATATGTATATTGAATACATACCCTTTATTGCTGCGCCTCGTGTAAGATACTGTTTCTCGCAAAAGAGAGGGTCAGGAATAAAAGAGTGAGAAAGAAAAGCGAGAGGCATGCGCCCGCAATCCGTCGAGAGCAGAGTGCAAACATTTGCGCATGTGTCGTGAAACTCTCTTAACTGTATACTTGATTTATTTAAACCATGTGAATAAATTTATAAAATACGTTATTATTTATATCTTCGCAATATATGCCTGATATATCTCGTAGAATTCTGACTATGATACATCAAAACTTAAGTTTAATTTCAACTATCTCTAACAATCTCAACGCTGAATATATTTGTGTCAAAATTCTATAATTTAATATGTCATTAAAATTAAAATTAAACAGTAAAGACTCTTACGAATGTATTGATATGTCATAATGCAGAAAAGATTTCCAAAGTTACAATTATATTTATAAATTTTAAATGTGCTGTATTTTTATAGATACAAGATGTGCGTGCACAAAAAAGAGATACGCACACGGTAAATAAAGCTGGATAAATATAACAATTACAATCCAGCTTTAATGTCATCTAACATAGCATTGTATCGAGAAAGAGAGAGAGGGAGAATTTTGTTATTCATAATATACTTGCATTAAATTATTTCGCGTACAGACGAGCATGTAATAACAAACCGATATGGCGCATTTGAAAATAAGGGGAGTTAATGAATTAAAACGATCTAATTTTATGTGAATGCATTGATTATTCTAATTTAAATATTGGGTTAATGTGTGACAAAATATATATTTTTACCTTAAATTTATCTCGTTTCTGGCACATAAAATTATAGATAGACTTTTGTCCTGAACAATAAAAAATTTTTTAAATATACTTTAAGAGCTTTCCACAATAATTATATAAATATAGCAGCGAGCTTACGCGAAAACACAAGGTATATGTGGAATTTTGCAAAGAGTATCTTTCTTTCGAAGGAACAAGCTTAAGTTGTTTTTTTTTCCCCGCGAATCGAGCTGCGATCAAATTCAAATCGATCGAGAAAGAGGGAGAGAAAGAAAGAGAACTCATTTCCATATGGAAATTTCGCGCTACGATTGGTTAAAATATTCGCGTAAATGCATTATACGAGCACGGGAAAGAAAGAGAGAGAGCGAGCAATGTGTGCAACTACACATACACTATTTCTCTCTCTCTTTCTCTCTCTATCGTTACCTATATATCGCGGCGCACGGCCGCGTACCGACTATATAGATCGCGAACGGAACATTGATCCTAGTCAGCGGCGCCGCGCACTCACTGCACACCATCTGCACACTTACATTATTAATGCGCCTACGACCGCCATAGCGGCCCATACCCACGGAGGTGTGTACTTCTGTTGTTTGCAAAATCTTTTCGCGACCGAGTGTAAACACCGGGAATATCGCGCGTACGATGGGCTGTCGAAGATTCACCTGCAATATGCAGTTTCGTTTCAACTAATAAATTCTATGCAGTGTATTCTCTCTTTAGAGATTCTGAGAAAGAGAGAGAAAGACAAAAGTCTAGGTGTAAAACTTTACATTGGAAATTTTTTTTATATGGGTCGGAATGATTAAAAATGATGAATTAAACTTGATAAGCGCACATCTTATTCTTCAGATAATTATATATGTATAATTTGAAACGGATTTTGCTCCAACGCGATTTTATATGTCCATTGACTGTTCGCGCGTCTATTTCAATGAATTGTCCCAATCTAATGGTGATAATGAACAAATGAAATTTTAAAAGATTCGAGATATTTAACGTTAAAAAAATAAGGAAATGTAACATTAGTTTTGTCAAGAGAAAATACACTAACGCGCAATTATAATTGAAACTTAGACGATGCAAAATATCATCGCAATTGCTGTCGTGGGTGCATGCAGGGCAGTAAACGCGAAAAACACGTACATGATACTTAAAGAGATATGGTTTCCTTTCCGCGGATCTCTCCGTATCCTAGCGCAAGTGGCCGCGGCTCGGAACCAGTTTGCCCGCCTTGCTATGGAATGTAAGAGGACGGCTGTAATTATTTGCAGCGCGTAGCTGCCGGCCGCACAACGATCTCGGATCTAGGCTGTGTAGGATCGCCTCTATGATCTCGATCCTTGCGGTATATCTCGACGATCGTCCCGATTTCCACCGTCTCGCGATAGGTTTTCATTGTATTCGACAACGCCTTCTTTCCGTTACTATCGGATCCACATTTGAGGAACACGACTCGTCGACACTTTTTGCGCGCGATTAAAGCTAAAATTATATATTTTCAAATCCGAAATATAATTGTCTCTCAGCTTCTAATGCGCTGTTACCATTTTTTCATTATTAAAGTACAGGTCTCTTTGATAAATCAAAGTAAAAATATATATAATATTCGTCAAATTATTATGATAGTAACAGTTTGCTATATTTTTTTTTTACAAGATCTTGATACATATTTGTCACATTATTACAATGGTGATATCTCGATGGTGTTTCTTCAACTCTCCTGTGTGTCAAGCTGTAAAAAAGGGCACAAAATTGATTGAGTATATAATATTGGTCAAATTACTACGATAATTAGCTCTCATATAAATGAGTTTATAATAAATAACTATTACGTTTATAAATATGTGTAGATTTAAAAAAATGTTAACGTTTCTGAAACGTAGTTCTTGACGCATAATCTTGTTGAAATTATATTTCTTACGTAAACAAGAAATATAGTATTTTTATGGCTGTTTATTCAAACCGTTACTTTATACATAAAAATTAATCTTTCAATGTTATAAAAAACAGATTTCTTTTCTTTTGTGAAAATTTTAAAATTCTTTTTCAAGTTCTTAACATCTCTTTCTCTCTTTTTCTCTCGCCAAAGATAATTGGCATGGATACGATTTGACGCGAGAGAAAGAGAATCTATGGTAATACACTTGAGCGTCCTCGAGATATTTGCGAGAAGACCTTTCACCTGGTATCGAGAAAGGGTGGGCAACAAGCGTTGGCGTCAAGTTCGATATTTGGGTCGTTCTTGCGAAACGAGGGCTATTCATGGCTGCGTTTGTCGGCTTTGACAAGCGTCCGATTTCAGCGACGAAATCGGCGATAAACTCGTCGATTTGAAAAAATACTCCGTTCTTCGATGAAGAGGCTGAATCTATCCGAACAAACCGTATTCTGAATAATTTTAAATTTTATGTAAACTTCCCTAACAACACACATGTCCAGAGAACGTTCAGAGGATGTAAAACACCATCCTTATGTTTTCCGGAGATGTAAAACATCCTCTGGATGTCCTCTGGAGATGTAAAACATCCTCCGGATGTCCGGACATGTATATTGTTAAAGTTACGCGGACGATATATCTAATTAAATCATAATTGCGCGCATTTCTGGATCCTTTCACCGATTAAACCTCCGCTACTTTAATCGCTGCACCGATCGAGAAGAAAAGTCTGATTCCGATTTTCTCAAGTACCGCGCTGACTAAATCGTTTTTATGAGAAGGCGCTCGCCCATGTTTATAGTCGTTTAAAAGGGCGAAAAAAAGGGGGCACGAAAGGTGTAAAAAAAACTTTACCTATCCACTTATACCTATCTGATGAAAAAGCATGCGCGCACTTTAAATCCGTTCGTCTCTCTCTCTCTCTCTCTCTCTCTTTCAGCACGCACGAATAAACGACGATGGTCGATGATGCCGAGCCACGTTCGTTCGCGGGCTTGCGTGTGACACGTCGCAGTCTCTCGTACGGATATACATACATACATACATACATACATATATACCCGGACGTCGTTTTCCTGTAGCGAGGTAAAGTCGAGCGAGATATCGTGCGCGGGTTTTGTGACTTGCGTGACGACTGCCATGTTTGCAGAGAGAGAACTTTAGCGCGCGACTCTCGTTGCTCGTTGCCCCGCGTGCCCCGTTCTCGTGATACCGCCTTCCTCCCTTTTCCACCCTCCTTTTGCTTCAACCACCGCCACCTGCGCCATATCGCGCTAGCTCGCTTCGCACGCATGCTACATAGTCGCCCTCCTGTGTCCTTCCGCTCCCTTCTCTCTCTCTCTCTCTCACCCCGCAACC